CATAGCAGGTCAGCGGTAGTTGCCAGGGATGTTGACGCACTCGTGGACGCAGCCCGCGTTGTCTTCCCGCTCGCACTCGTCGACGTCTGCAGAGAGAGGAGGGCAGGAGAACTGTGGGGCTGCCCCAGCTGAGGACGGCCAACTCACTGCACGGGTGCTGCTCCCCACCTCCAGCGCGTTTGCGACCCAGCTGATGTTGCACCCTGGGACCTCTGCTGGCTGAAACCTGCTTAGTCCAGCAGGTCCTGCTTATTCCAGCAGGTCCCCAGCTCCGTTATCACCTACAGCATCCCTCCACACGCCGCAAAAACATTCCCTGTCCTCCCCGGTCTAGACCCTGGACTTCCAGCTAAGCCGCCGTCTTAAAGCCTCGGCACAGCGCAGCGACCTGCCGGTGCTCTGGGAACCACACGGGATTTCCCGACAGCAGTGGGCAGAGCAGCCGGTCTCCATGGCGAAGCCTTGCTGTGCCTGGAGCGCGCTTTAATCCTTCTGCTATTTGTACTCAGCCCATCCCAACCCTGGACCCGCTCCGAGTAGAGCTGGGAATTTTTCCCCTGCCCCGCTCCTGCTTTCCTGGTCCTGCTCCTCCCGGGAGCCCGTTTTCTTTCCATGCCCTACTCAGCTGCGTATATCTCTATCTACATCTACATCACCTATATCTCTATACCTCATTTTAAGCTTCTCCTGTTTTATCTGCCAACCCAGTTTTGCAGCCTTTGGGTTGGAGATCCTGCAGTTCAGAAAAGCCCAGCTTTGTTTAAAACAAGCCCCAGGTGACCCCCCCTGGGCCTGGGCAGCCCCAGCCTTGCAAACGTGGCTCTTTGCAGAGCCAGGGAGGGAGCACGATGGCTGCCACCACCGCCGGCAGGGATGGTCACACTCCTCTCCATCCCCATCCATCACAGTGTCAACAGGCCAGGAGTTTGGGGCAAAAAAGGGGGAAAAAAAGATTTGCAATGGGCTGGGATAAACAAGCAGCCTTTTTACAAGGGCAGGGGACGTTGCTGACAAGCCACCGCCTGCCTCCGACCTGCCGGGGCTGTCACCTGTCGGGGGGGCTCCGGCTCTGGCGGCGTGCCCCTACCTTTGCAGTGCTTCCCGTCGCCGGTGTAGCCAGACTTGCAGATGCACTTGTAGGACTTGGGGGTGTTCTGGCAGATGGCGTCGATGTGGCAGTTGTCGGTGCCCTCCACGCACTCGTCGACATCTGCAAGGGGAGAGGTGGGGGGAGCGGTGGGGAGAGCCGGGGGGAGCTCTCCCCGTCTCCCCAGGGGAGCCATCACCTGAGGCGATGAAACCAAGCAGCCCTCCGGCTTTTCAGCCCACGCACGAACCAGAAAGGCTCGAGGGGGCAACGCTGCTGCTTTGCTCCATAGTGGCTTTGCCGTACCCAGCCCTGACGCAGCGGGTGATGGGCTCGGGATGGGGCGCTGGAGCGGCAAGCA